AATATTGGGCGCGTAAAGGCGATCAGAGTGCCACAAATCCTGCATCCTTCGCCCCATCCTTACGCTCAATTACGACCTCTACGAACTACCTCCTTGCTTCCCCGCTCGTCATGTCCGTCGTTGAAATCGAGTTCGGTGCTCTCGCTAGCAAGGTAGCTTGCCTCCTTGTACCCGACTGTGGCGTCTAGATCGATACTGACTCGCGCGACTCTGTGTAGATTGGTGTTGCGATACACCGTGCTACTCCGTACGAATAAGAAGTCTGACTTGTGATACACCGTGCTGATGCACCGCCTTGTAGATCTGTTGTCTCTTCCGGACCCAAGCAGCGGGCCATCGGCGAGCCCGCAAAGACCCTTGAGATCTCCAACTCCCACAACACCGTCGGCTCCCTCAAGAGGCTGCTTCGCAGGACATTTTCCAACCCTATGATTTCAGAGGTTGAGTCACAATACACCTATGTGAAGTTTGTCGACGCAAATGGCACCATCAGTGCACAGGTGAGTGTTCGTCCACAAGCAAGTTATCTTCGTGCGACTTGCGGCGCGCACTGGTATCATAAGAGCGTCGCATACGTACAAAGGGGTGCTTGGCATTGATCTGCTCGGAGATATCGATGATGTCATCCCATATGATGCTTTTGAACTGTATACTGATCCTGTCTCTGGCAGGTAAACTACCTCGGCGAGCAAAAGGTCTTCTCAGCCACCCAACTCACCGCCATGTATCTTGGCAAGCTCTGGGATACTTCCGCGAAGGAGCTCAAGACCGCCGTATCCGATGTTGTGATCACTGTCCCTGGCTTGTATACCGACATCCAGCGAAGGGCACTCCTTGACGCTGCCCAGATCGCTGGTCTCAACGTCCTCCGTCTCATCAATGACACGACTGCCGTTGCGCTCGGCTACGGTATCACCAAATCTGATTTGCCTGAGGCTGAGAACCCTAGGCATGTCACCTTTGTTGACGTCGGCCACGCGTCCATGTCAGTTGCTGTCGTCGCGTTCTCCGAAGGTCAGCTGATTGTGAAGAGCACGGCGTACGACCCTCATGTCGGTGGTCGCGACATCGACTACGCCCTTCTCCAGCACTTCGCTACCGATTTCAAAGAGAAGTCAAAAATTGACGTTCTCTCGAACCCCAAAGCTATCTGCCGTCTCTCTGCTGGTTGCGACCGCGTTAAGAACGTTCTCTCCGCGAACGCCGAGGCGCCCCTCAATGTTGAATCGATCATGAATGACGTCGACGTCCACAGCCATCTCACTCGCCAAGAATATGAGGAAGTCATCTCTGATGTCCTCAGCCGTTTGGAGGCGCCTCTTCACGCTGCCCTCGTGGACTTCGGCCCCACGATCGACCAGATCGACACCGTTGGGCTCGTCGGTGGCTGCACCCGTATCCCAGCCGTCCGCCAGAAGACGCAGAACTGGTCCGGCGGCAAGACACTCTCGACAACGCTGAACCAGGACGAGGCCGCAGCCCGCGGCGCGACATTCGCATGCGCCATGCTCTCGCCCACCTTCCGTGTACGCGAGTTTTCAATGACGGACATCGACCCGTACGCTATCAAGGTCTCCTGGGAGAGGTAGCCGGAGGACGAGGATACGGAGCTCACCGTGTTCCCCAAGGGCAACAACCGCCCCGTCGACCAAGATCCTCACGTTCTACCGCAAATCCGCGTTCGAGGTCGAGGCTACGCTGACCCATCGACGCTCCCGGGTGGGATCAATCCCTGGATCGCGAAGTTCACGGCGAAGGACGTCCAGCCGCAGCCAAACGGCGACTATCAGATCGTCAAGGTCAAGACCCGTCTGAGCGCCAACGGTATCCTCTCATTCGAGCAGGTGTACACTGAGGAGATTGAGGAGAGGGAGGAGCAGCCGATGCAGGTCGATGGGGCTGAGGGCGAGGCGGCTCAGCCGAAGAAGATCGTCAAGAAGCACGAGGTTCCCTTCGTCTGGGGCCACTCTGGCGTCGACGCGAGCATCGTCCCTCAGTTCAGGGAGGTCTAGGCTCCGACGCACTCCGCGGACGAACTCGTCTTCGATACCGAGGTTAGTGGAGCCATTCCTTGTGATGAAATCGCATGTGCAAACATCGAGCCCTGTGCACCTTTCTCACGACAGTTCATTGTCAGCCCCCTGTAGGTGATGTCGCCGCTCGCCAAGTACCACCGGTCACAACCAGGACTCTCCGAGCATTCGAAGGCTTCATGTGTGGGAAAGAGTTCTACACTAAGCGACTCCTTCGAGCAGCGATTGCGGTTCGAGGAGCAAGTACGGCAGAAGGAGTAGGGTGGCGACAAGACTGTTGCCGTGTAAGTCGGATGTCAACCATGTTCACACGATTCATTACTGACGTGCCTCGCAGGCTCGAGCGTCGTATCCCCCTCGTTGGACAGACTCACTGCAGTGAGTTGCCATCGCATAGTTGCCTTACGTACGTTGAACTGTCAATGTAGTTTTTCGTTTTCCGTCATGTCCCGTATCATGTCGGGTGATCTCTCATAATAGCAGATTCTTACATATTGCAGACTTCGGTGGCGGTCAGCACAGGTCCTAGTGTCCCATGTTGCAATCGAACAGAGTAGCCGATCGCAGACAATCTCATTTCCGCCTTGATAGTGTACCAAACTCCACAGGCGCATCTCCGCAGTAAGCAACTATCGGTCGATATTACATCATTTCTTCATCCTGTGTTGTAGAGCCCGTTATTCCATCGAGGCTGGTATGTACATGTGCTGATCCCGAAGCAAAGGTATCTCCTTTTACAGTTATACATGTGCGCCCCACGAGGCGCTTGCTGACCAGAACGTCAGGCAAGCTCCAAGTTGGTCGCCTCATTGTAGCTAATTCCCCACAAACGAGGTCCGTCCCTTACCAAGTTGGTATCCGAATTTGCACTGACAATTGCCAATTAGCATCGTGTGCAGCTTACTACCTGACGCATCACTTGGCTTGCAGGTGTGGTGCTTGCCCGATTCCAGGTATGTGGGAATGTATAAATACTATGTCATCCACACCAGGTCAAGGCATCAACCTACGCTGCATAGTGGGCATCTCACTGTTGTACCTAGCACCTTGGCTTTTCCAGCTTCCTAAGTGCTACTAGGCAGACTACACGCATAGTATGTGGCTCTACTTAGATCTTGTGTTGTTTTGCTTATCTTGTCATTCAGCGAGATGCCCTCCGGAGCAAGCAGATCACCCGGTGACGAAGTTCGTGGGACCTCTCTCCCCTCAGACTCCGGTGTAGCTCCGATTGTTGGAATCCTGGCGTCAAGATGGCGAGCTCGCGGAACGAGCGCCACAGGTCCCGCCCCCCGACGGATACCCGCGCCCTTATCTACCCCTATTTAGCTACGTATATAAGCCTTATTGTATCTACTGTGTACGGCACGCGTTTGCACCGGCCAAACGCGAATCCCATTTGTGCCCGCTTGCCCTCGAACTTCTACACAAACGCGTCTCCTCTGCCCGAAGGATAATTCGAGGCACTGCCTAGTGGGGCCGAAGCCACTCGACGATCCCGCGAACCGACGACCCGTGACGACGACCGACCCGACGACGACCGACCCGACGACGACCCCGTGCACCCCGACGACCCCGTAACCGCGACCGCCCCGCGCTCCCCGCTGCTCCCG